TGGCCCATTCCTCCATGCAGATCTCCTCTAGTGTCACGATCGTTATAAGATGCGGACCAAGGCGCAGCGTGGTAAGCGTAAATTCTTTATTCGCAGTACACAACACGAACCAAAACAACAAAACAAACGATACGTGAAGTCCTAGGTTAACACCAAAACAAACCATACGGAACAAGATCCCACAAATAACTAGTGCCAACAGGCTGCCTAAGTATGGTTCCCAATCAGAGACAACGAGAATCAGCTGCCTCTGATTGGGAACCACCCTGGCCAACATATAAAACACGAACTAGAACACAACATAGAAAATCACACATAGAAAATCCACACCCTGGCTCAACATATAAGAGTCCCCAGAGCCAGGGCGTGACAGTACCCCCCCCCAAAGGCGCGGACTGCGACCGCGCCAACCAAACCCAACAGGGGAGGGGCCGGGTGGGCATTCCGCCTTGGAGGCGGATCTGGCTCCGGGCGTGACCACCACTCTCTCGCTACCCCCCCCCCCCCCGTAGCGCCCCTGGTCTGGTCCCGCTGGCCGGAGCTGGACTGGACACCGGTGGAGCGGATTGCTCAGGCTCCGGTGTGGAGCAGCTGACCGGTGCCTGACCAGGCACCGGTGGAACAGGCACGGGCTGTGCCGGACTGACGACGCGCACCACTGGCTTGGTGCGGGGAGCAGGAACAGGCCGGACCGGGCTGGCGACGCGCACCACTGGCTTGGTGCGGGGAGCAGGAACGGGCCGGACCGGGCTGACGACGCGCACCACTGGCTTGGTGCGGGGAGCAGGCACGGGCCGGACCGGGCTGACGACACGCACCACTGGCTTGGTGCGGGGAGCAGGAACGGGCCGGACCGGGCTGGCGACGCGCACCACTGGCTTGGTGCGGGGAGCAATAACGGGCCGGACCGGGCTGATGACGCGCACCACAGGCTTGGTGCGGGGAGCAGGAACGAGCCGGACCGGGCTGACGACGCGCACCACTGGCTTGGTGCGGGGAGCAGGAACGGGCCGGACCGGGCTGGCGACGCGCACCACTGGCTTGGTGCGGGGAGCAATAACGGGCCGGACCGGGCTGACGACGCGCACCACTGGCTTGGTGCGGGGAGCAGGAACGGGCCGGACCGGGCTGACGACGCGCACCACTGGCTTGGTGCGGGGAGCAGGAACGGGCCGGACCGGGCTGACGACGCGCACCACTGGCTTGGTGCGGGGAGCATGAACGGGCCGGACCGGGCTGGCGACACGCACCACTGGCTTGGTGCGGGGAGCAGGAACGGGCCGGACCGGGCTGACGACGCGCACCACTGGCTTGGTGCGAGGAGCAGGAACAGGCCGGACCGGGCTGTGGAGACGGACTGGAGGTCTGGAGCGAAGAGCTGACACAACCCGTCCTGGCTGAATGCCTATTTCTACACACTCTGTGTGAGGCATCAGCACAGGACGTACAGGGCTGTGCACTTATACTGGCACTACAGCACGTGGCACTGGCACGTGGCATTGGTGGCACGTGGCATTGCCTCTCGCCTGTCCGACGACGGCCCGGTTGGCGCCGCTTCTCCTCTCCTGCCTGGGCATCCTCCCTCATCGCCCTCCGGTAGTGGACGGCCTCCTCCTCTGTGATTCTCCCCCAACCGAGGAGGACATCTACCAGAGTAACCTCCTGTTCCATACCCGGTGTTTGCTCCTGCACACGCTGCTTGGTCCTATTAAGGTGGGATCTTCTGTCACGATCGTTATAAGATGCGGACCAAGGCGCAGCGTGGTAAGCGTACATTCTTTATTCGCAGTACACAACACGAACCAAAACAACAAAACAAACGATACGTGAAGTCCTAGGTTAACACCAAACAAACCATACGGAACAAGATCCCACAAATAACTAGTGCCAACAGGCTGCCTAAGTATGGTTCCCAATCTGAGACAACGAGAATCAGCTGCCTCTGATTGGGAACCACCCTGGCCAACATAGAAAACACGAACTAGAACACAACATAGAAAATCACACATAGAAAATCCACACCCTGGCTCAACATATAAGAGTCCCCAGAGCCAGGGCGTGACATCTAGAGCAATGATGTTTTGGGGCTGTCGCTGGGCAACACAGACTTTCAACTCCCTCCAAAGATTTTCTATGGGGTTGAGATCTGGAGACTGGCTAGGCCACTCCAGGACCTTGAAATGCTTCTTCCTTTGTTGCCCGGGCGGTGTGTTTGGGATCATTGTCATGCTGAAAGACCCAGCCACATTTCATCTTCAATGCCCTTGCTGATGGAAGGAGGTTTTTACTCAAAATCTCACGATACATGGCCCCATTCATTCTTTCCTTTACACGGATCTGTCGTCCTGGTCCCTTTGCAGAAAAACAGCCCCAAAGCATGATGTTTCCACCCCCATGCTTCACAGTAGGTATGGTGTTCTTTGGATGCAACTCAGCATTCTTTGTCCTCCAAACACGACGAGTTGAGTTTTTACCAAAAAGTTATATTTTGGTTTCATCTGACCATATGACATTCTCCCAATCCTCTTCTGGATCATCCAAATGCACTCTAGCAAACTTCAGACGGGCCTTGACATGTACTGGCTTAAGCAGGGGGACACGTCTGGCACTGCAGGATTTGAGTCCCTGGCGGCGTAGTGTGTTACTGATGGTAGGTTTTGTTACTTTGGTCCCAGCTCTCTGCAGGTCATTCACTAGGTCCCCCCGTGTGGTTCTGGGATTTTTGCTCACCGTTCTTGTGATCATTTTGACCCCACGGGGTGAGATCTTGCGTGGAGCCCCAGATCGAGGGAGATTATCAGTGGTCTTGTATGTCTTCCATTTCCTAATAATTGCTCCCACAGTTGATTTCTTCAAACCAAGCTGCTTACCTATTGCAGATTCAGTCTTCCCAGCCTGGTGCAGGTCTACAATTTTGTTTCTGGTGTCCTTTGACAGCTCTTTGGTCTTGGCCATAGTGGAGTTTGGAGTGTGACTGTTTGAGGTTGTGGACAGGTGTCTTTTATACTGATAACAAGTTCAAACAGGTGCCATTAATACAGGTAACGAGTGGAGGACAGAGGAGCCTCTTAAAGAAGAAGTTACAGGTCTGTGAGAGCCAGAAATCTTGCTTGTTTGTAGGTGACCAAATACTTATTTTCCACCATAATTTGCAAATAAATTCATTAAAAATCCTACAATGTGATTTTCTGGAAAGAAAATTCTCAATTTGTCTGTCATAGTTGACGTGTACCTATGATGAAAATTACAGGCCTCTCTCATCTTTTTAAGTGGGAGAACTTGCACAATTGGTGGCTGACTAAATACTTTTTTCCCCCCACTGTAAGTAGTGTACATATCTACTTCATTTACCTTGTACTCATGCACATCGGCTCAGTACTGGTACACTGTGTATAGCCAATTTGTCATTACTCATTGTGTATTTATTATTACTTGTATTATTACGTGTTATTACTTTTCTATTATTTCTCTATTTTCTCTCTCTATGCCCTTTTGGGAAGGGCCGTAAGTAAGTATTTCACTGTTAGTCTACACCTTTTGTTTACGAAGCATGTGACGAATACAATTTGATTTGATTTTTCAGGTAAATTTACACTTCTATTGTTTAACACCTCCTTAATTTGAATTGCATACAGCCCCCATGGTGCAAATAAGGGGCTGTTTGAAAGGGGGTCATATAAACATTGCCTTATATTTTTTACAGGTAACATACCACATTTTCTGTCTGAAATGGGATATCTGTCTGCTCTCTCTCTCTGTATCTCTGGGTCTCTCTCTCTCTCTCTCTCTCTCTCTCTCTCTCTCTCTCTCTCTCTCTCTCTCTCTCTCTCTCTCTCTCTCTCTCCCTCTCTCTCTCTCTCTCTCTCTCGCTCTATGGCTGCCTCCTCCATATTCATTAGTTATTATTATTATCCCAGGCTTGGAACACCTGCTTCCAAATTACTGCTGTAATGACCAATTACATGCCAGACTATATTATCACCTTCTACTGTGTGGGAGCTGCTGGTAGGCTTTTTGGTAACTGTCAATTTAGAACATTCTTTGAATTTCCAAATCAAGAATTAAAAGGTGGAATTCATTGTCAATGACAATGTTTCCGTTCTTGAATTGGAATCTCAATTCACTAGACATCTATATCTTCATTACTCGGAGGTAGAAATTTCGAAGAGCTTCACGGGGTTCCTTATTCGGCAATCCACTTGCGTACCTCTGATTGACACATGGTCTAGAGCCACCACCAGGTGGAGTCATGCCACATCACTCCACTCAGATGGGTGACTGACAGCCAGATGGGGGCTGACAGCCATAGGGAGTCGAGAGGAATAAAGGTGAGGAGAGTGGGCTGATTAAAAGGAGAGGAGAGGAAGAGAGGTGAGGAGGCTGAGAGAAGATGGGGATCTGTCAACAGCTCATCAGGCAGCGGTAGGCAGCTGGGGCCAACCAAATAATTTCCCTGGGTGATTAGGTGTGTGTGATAGCATAAGTGCAATTGGGGTGATTACCACTGAGATTTTGGAGCTGGAGAGGACACTGTGGGTAAGACACTGAGGAGTACAGTTTCCTTCAGAGGTACAGAGAGAAAGAGAGAAAGAGAGAAGTGAAAACGATAAGAGGAGAGAACTGGCTTCTGACTGTAAAGGAGGAAAATGGTGTTGTCTTTCTTCTAGATGAAGTTAATTTTGCAGTGTGCTGTCATGTGTCACTCTGGAATGAGGTGTGAGTCTATTTAGTGTGTGTATGTGTGTTTTCTGTACATTTATCAACATGTACAGCAGGGGTTTCAAACTCATTCCATGGAGGGCCTAGAATCTGCTGTTTTTTGTTTCCCCCTTTCAATTAAGACCCAGACAACCAGGTGAGGGGAGTTCCTTACTAATCAGTGACCTTAATTCATCAATCAGGTCCAAGGGAGGAGCGAAAACCTGTGGAATGAGTTTGACACGGATGCAAATGTCTACACACTCCTATCCTACAAAAACAGTTGAAACAATAAGACACACTGTTTCTTTAATATACTTTATTGGAGCTGCACATTGCATGATTGTGAGTTAAAGTGCCTACTGTAGCTTCCTAAGGACAATTCTCCCAATACGCCTTCATACAAAGAAGATTGGTCACATGGTTTAGGTCATTGTGCAGTTTACTTAGCTGGTCCCTACATACCATCCTTATAATCTTATAATAATTAAGTATCATACAGTAAATCTGATCACTGCAAAACATTCAGTCAGAGAGACACAATCACAGATACACACTATACAGATTGCACTGAGGATTAGGGTAATTAAGCAATATCTTTAGAATATTTTACATGTGATTTAGTGTATTTCTGCTATCTCAAGGGCTGTGGATTGCTTTACGTTCCCGATTCACTTTCTTTGGCTCACATATTCACAATAATATGTTAATATATAATTTACTAATAACATTATTAATCAAAACATACAGATTACATAGAGGCTATAGAATATAAATAAAATATACATTTACAAATGGAAGAAAATACTTGACTTTTAAAACACTGGTAATGTCATAAATTAATCATATTTTTCTTTATATATATTTATCTATATATCATTATCATATTAGTATTTAAACATCTTCAAAAATGACATACTGTAGGCTTGTTCCACACAGGCAAGGAGCCAGTGTTTTACACGCTGCAAGTAGAATTTGCCTTTAGACACAGATCTAGGATCAGCTTACCCTCTCCAATACCTAAAATGTATCATTTTAACCATTAGGGAGAAACACATAATACTGACCCTTGATCAGTATCTAGGGGCATTTTCAAGGTCATAGTTCAAAGGTCAATACAGCATTAGGTTACAGCACGGGGTACATACACTGTTAAACACACACAGCTTCTCCACGAAACACACACTGGAGGTCAAGGTTTAACGCTAGGAGAAAGAGTTGGTGCGTCTGTGTCTAGAATTATATATATGCTGAGAGCAAGTGATGCATCGTGTATATCATAATATTCATAAATCATAATATATTGTATACTATATGTGCTCTCAGGCATTCCTTGTATTCACACACACACACTGACACGTGCATACACACACTCACACGCGCATACACACACTCACACCGATGTAGAGGGTTTCCCTGTGTTACCGTACCATAATTGCTCTTATGAATCTACTGTACAACACAGACAAATTACTGCTAAACGGACTTGAACACACACACAACACAGGTCTCTACTGCACACAGATACACACATTAGTCAAACTTTAGTGGCTGTGGTTTACACATCCTACCTACAGAGAGAATTGTTTAGGACAAGAACAGCTCCAAAATTCTCTGAGCTGATTAGTGTGGTCACATGGTCACAGGTAAAACATTGAAAACTGCAGTTCCGGCCTCCGGCTATTGTGGTGGCGCTATCTACAGGTCATGCCCCAGCCTCTCGATCTCGTCAATCAGGAAGTCGATGTCTGACTGGAGGGCTGCAGGGTTGGAGATGACCATGCGGAAGAAGTTGACCTTCTGGCCCTGAGGCTGGTAGCCCACCATGGTCGTACCAGACTCCATCATCATTGCTTTGATATTGGGTGCAACCTGGAGGATGGGAGGGGAATAGAACATATTTAGAATTCTGGAATAAAGTTTCTAGAACATTTGAAAAGTTAGAAGATGGTATAACACTTACCTTGTGAAGTTTCTCTCGATACTCCTCGCTGTTGTGTTCCATGCCTCTCAGGCTGGGTGGAATGTACCAGAAACACACATTGGTGTGCTGGGGCTATGTAGAGAAGACACACATTTAGAATATGTGGACCTTAATTAAGATGTTTTTTTTATTATGATTTTTCAGCACCCTTACTATGGAAGGGAGGGATGACTGAGGGAGGAAAGGAAAAAGTAGAAGGACAGTTGCTTACCACTCCCTCGAACACCATCTCGTATCCCTCTCGGTTTCTGATCTTGTCGTAGAGGTACTGAGACAGGTCCAGACACTTGTCAATGTGCTGCTCAAATCCTATGGTGCCCTGCGGAAAAAATATAATATTACAATGATTAATAAGGGCTGAAAATACAGAGGTGCTGGCTGGGGACGGCAGGGCATTCCTATAAGTGTCGAAACTCCATTAGGGTCTATATGTAATTAGAAGCCTGGATATGACCAAATACTAGATTCATGTAACATTAGCTCACCTTGGCCTTCCACATGAGCCAGAACTTAAAGATGTCAACGTGGCGCCCACACTGGATGGCTTTGTCACCCGTGTCATAGCTGACATCATACTGTTTATCAGGCTGGAACAGGTACCCTGCACACATCGAGTTACAGCCAGCCAGAATACCCTACAGAGAGAACGAACAGGGTTATATATAGAGAGAGTGTGTATGTGTGTACGTGTGTATGCGTGTGTGTGTTTGTCCTCACCTTCTCTCTGACCAGGATGGCGGAGCACTGTAGAGGCACTCCCATCATCTTGTGAGGGTTCCACGTGACAGAGTTAGCCCTAAAAGAGGAACAGCAGCCGTTAGTGTGTGTTTGTTGTGTGAATTAAGGAGTGTGTGTGTGTGTGTGTGTGTTTGTGTGTCAGTACCTCTCAACCCCGCTGAACTTATGGCGATGCTTCCTGGACATCAGGAGACCACCTCCCCATGCACCCTGGAGAAAGAACACACGCACCATTAGAACAATAGGAAAAAACAATATTGTCCCCAAACACACACTCACACACACTGTACTCACGTCTACGTGCAACCACATGTTGTATTTCTCGCAGATGTCAGCGATCTCGTTGATGGGGTCAAATGCTCCGTAAACAGTGGAACCAGCTGTAGCGTTCACAAACAGTGGATGATAACCCTGGAGGAACACAATATCACAGGAGTCACAAAGTGACAAAATCCTTTATGTAAGAAACGTAGAGACAGAGAGAGAGAGAGCGAGAGAGACAGAGAGACAAAAAGTGATAGAAAAAGAGAGACAGAGGAAACGACAGAGGGAGAGACAGAGAGGGAGAAAGAGAGAGAGAGAGAGAGAGAGAGAGAGAGAGAGAGAGAGAGAGAGAGAGAGGGAAGGAGAGCGAGAGAATCACCTTCTGCTTGACATTGAGGATCTTAGCTTCTAGATCAGCAGGAATAACTCTCCCCCTGAGAAAGAACAGGAACAGAGAATCAGCTGATCTATCTTAATGAATATCTACAGTGGGTCAGTTGCGTCCTGATGTACTCCATGGGGGTAAATCTAAAGTATGTGGGACGTGTGTGTTTGTGAGTAGCTGTAGTGTACCTCTCATCTGTGCTCAGCAGGACCACGTTCTCTGAGCCAAAGCCCAGAGCTGCCCCTGCCTTCTTGATAGAGTAGTGGCTCTGTGGGATCACAGGAAAATACAGGAACATAAACAATTTAAAACCGACATTATTGAGGATTTCTTCAGAGTGTGTTTTTGCGTGTGAGTGTGCGTGTGCGTGTGTGAGTGCGTGTGCGTGTGACGTACATGTTCTGATGTGAAGAGCACCAGGCGGGGAGCGGCAGACATGCCCTTGGTCTTGACCTCGGGGAAGTACTTGTAGCGAGCGATCATCACACTGTACATGTTAGAGATGGCGCCCCCTGTGGACAGAGAGAGAATGACTGGTCAGTACAGGACCCTGGACAGCAGCTAGTCCAATACAGACAGATATGACCACCTCATTTTTGCACTATACAATGATACATTTCCACATGAGAGGACAATAAAATGTATTCAGTCATGTTGTATGTTATCACTTGTATATTGTAAAGGTATCAAACAGTAGTAACATATAACATACTCACATAGGCCTGCACACACACACACACACACACACACACTATCTTCTACATACAGTACCTGGTGAGAATATGCCGTCCCCCTCTCCTGAGGGCCAGCCAATCATCTCTCTCATCTTCTTCAGCGTCAGCTGCTCCATCAGGACAAACACTGGAGCGATCTCATAGGTGAACCTGCCGATCAATATATGAATATATAAATCAATCAATTCATACATCAGTTCACTCAAAACAACATTTATTGACTATTGCAACATTTCGCTTAAAATATTTAGGTCACATAGACCTTTGACCCTTTTCCTACGTACCAGCTAAGACTTTACTTCAGGTGAACAAAAGTTAAACATATTCAAGGATGTTATTTTTGCATGGCTAAACGGAGCTGAGAACTCAGAGCTACTGCTTGAACTGCAAGACAACCCTATGGACTCAACGTTCCATTAAATTAGCCTCACACCCACACACACACACATATGTGCACACAAGCAAATTTTGCTGACAGAGTTGAACTAATTAAAATCCGCCTGATATGAGACAGAGAGCAGACATTCATATTCAAATCCCTTTAAAGTATCAGTCAGCGTTTAATTAAAGCACACAAAGCTCTGATGGTTATCTGTCAATTCTGTCAATCTCAACGGGGGGGATGGGGAGGGGGGGGGGGGGGGGACTTGTGTTGGGGAGCGATAAGAAGGCTTTAGCCCCAAATCTATTTCCTGCTTCAGAGTGGAGAGAGAGAAAGAGAGAATGAAGGAGAGAGTGAAGGAGAGAGAGAGGGAGCACAGATGCGGAACCAAAGACATAGAGACAGAGGGAGAGAGGAGACGGAGATGACAACAGAGAGGCTTTTGTTTCGATCTCTATTGAATGTTGAGATCAGGGTTTGGCTCAGAATTGAATTGAGAATGCCTCATAAATTCCAATTCAATTCTTGAATTTGAATTACATTTGAATTGAAGTAGTAAACAGGATACAGAATCACAAATTTGAATTTGAATTAATTGAAATAGAATTGAATTCAGTGAAACTCAATGAAATTCAAATGCCTCTTCTATATTAGCTGTAGTCTATAAAAAAATATACAGTACCAGTCAAGAGTTTGGACACACCTACTCATTCAAGGGTTTTTCTTTATTTTGACTATTTTCTACATTGTAGAATAATAGTGAAGACATCAAAACTATGAAATAACACATATGGAATCATGTAGTAACCAAAAAAGTGTTAAACAAATCAAAATATATTTAACATTTGAGATTCTTCAACTAGCCACCCTTTGCCTCGATGACAGCTTTGCACACTCTTTTGACTGGTAGTGTACATCTTGTACATAAAACATCAAACATGATGTTATATACAAGCATATAAAATATTGTTGAAACAATTGAAATTAATCTTTAAATTAATGATCAAGGAAAACAAAACCTGTATGCGAATCAGTGGAGGCTGCTGAGGGGAGGATGGCTCATAATAACGGCTGGAACGGAGCTAATGGAATGGCATCAAACACATGGAAACCATGTATTTGATACCATTCCACCAATTCCACTCCAGCCATAACCATGAGTCCGTCCTCCCCAATTAAGGTGCCACCAACCTCATGTGATGCGAATATTCTAAGTTATTACATTTCATTAATCACTTACATTTTTTTCAATATGGGGAAAAATACTTAATTTCCCAGAATGCATTAGTTTATCCCTCAAGTTGACCCCGAGGCCTTCAAAAAGAAGCCAAACAAATGAAATGGTTGGTGGAAATATAATTGGCTATTCTATGCACCAAGGTTTAAAGGTATATGAACACTGTTTCCAGAGGAAAGTGATATATTCTTTGGTATCTGGAAGTGTAACCTTTCAGATTCAATGAAACTCTCATGTTCTATGACTGCGTGGAATTTATTTGAAATGCACTGAATTAAATTCTACTTTAAAGGGATTTGAAAGAGAGGGAAAGATCTCTGGTAGACTGAAATGATCTATGACATTTGTAAGCAACTCTGGGTTAGGTTGTGTATTTGGGTGTGGGTTGTGTGAATTTTGTGGCCCTAAGGCTATGTCCCACTGATGCCTGACCTCCCCACATCCTTCCCCTTCCTTCCCTCGCCTCTCTCACCCCTCCCCCTCCACCTATGGCGCATTTCCAATGATGATTTACCCCAGTGTTTTACCCAAAAGGCTCCAACTTTTCTGTTTCCACTTACGCGGGCCGGCACCCGTGTCTCACTCTGCCATGGCTCCGGCGGACTAACTTGGAGCCAAGGCAAGGCCCTGGGTACTCTTCAGCTTGCATTTACATAACAATGACTAACTGTGAACTTTAACACCTTCTCACAAAATCAAAAGTCTTGAATGATGCAGAGGCTGTTGATTCTGCTTGCTTGTTTTTAGTGTCACACTCCTGATTGAAACACAAGAACATTAGCAGCCCACTGGTTTTGGGGGTAAATCTCATTGGAAAAGCAGCACTACTGTCTAACAAGGCCAGTTACACAACACACACACAACCCCCCTTCTACCCTTCACAGCCCTCCCCTCCTCTCAACTGGGGACAGGGGAGCAGCACTGACAGACACACATAGGAGGGGAGGAAGGGGAATAAGACATGACCGAGAGAGGAGTGGAAGACATTTGTGGCAAAGAGGATAGTAGGGGGAAGAGAGGAAGAAGGAGGAAGGAGGGAGAGAAAAGGAAAGGAAAGGGAGAGGAAATGAGAACGAGAGAGAGAGAATAGAGCGGGAGAGAAAGAGAATGAGAGAGATAATCCTCGGCAGCAGCACTATAATTCATGTGCATTTATTCGGGCTGTAGCAGCCATCCTGGGGAGAGTTTGATTAGAACATTAGGTGCCAGTCAATACGCCAGCACAGATTATGACTGATGGGCCCTAATTACACGCCAGACAGACAGACACACACACACACACACACACACATAAGGCCGGATTAAGAAATCATAGGCCCCGGTGCTTTGTTTTTAAAAAATGATTGGCAACTCTGACTGACTAACTGAGATCAATCTGGTCTTCAATTCAAACAAAGAATAGCCCAGGCCAATGAAGCGACACACAGATTGTACAATATTATACAGTACCAGTCAAAAGTTTGGACACACCTACTCATTCAAGGGTGAGTGTTGCAACCAAGGACAGATGATTTTTACGCGCTTCAGCACTCGATGTTCCCGTTCTGTGAGCTTGTGTGGCTTACCACTTCGGGCTGAGCCGTTGTTGCTCCTAGACGTTTCCACTTCACAATAACAGCACTTGACTGGGGCAGCTCTAGCAGGGCAGACATTTTACACACTGACTTGTTGGAAAGGTGGCATCCTATGACGGTGCCACGTTGAAAGTCACTGATGTCTTCAGTAAGGCCATTCTACTGCCAATATTTGTCTATTGAGATTGCATGGCTGTGTGCTCGATTTTATACACATGTCAGCAACGGGTGTGGCTGAAATAGCCGAATCCACTAATTTGAAGGGGTGTCCACATACTTTTGTATATATAGTGTATGTCTATGGCCACAATGCAACAAACTGCAGTCTTCTCGACTGTAGGCATACCTGTAACTGCCAAAATAAAGTAAACACTTGAGTAAACGAGGGATACAAAGTATACGTGATGGTGTGGGGTGCCTTTTCCTGGCATGGCTTAGGCCCACTTGTAGAATCTATGCCAAGGCGCATTGAAGCTGTTCTGGCAGCTGGTGGTGGCGCAGCACCCTTTTAAGACACTTTATGTTGGTGTTTCCTTTATTTTGGCAGATACCTGTATGTGCTTGTGATAAAAATTAACCCACAGTTCTTTTTTATAAACTATTGATACTCTGTGGTTAAATTATTGTCGCGCCCTGACGTATGGAACTCTTGTATGTTGAGTCAGGGTGTGGAAATCTATGTGATACAGCTGTCGCTCGTTGTCTCTGATTGGGGATCATACTTAGGTAGCCCAGTTGCCTACTATAGTTGTGGGATCTTGTTCCTGTGTTTGGCTTGTATTGTGTATAGCCTTGGACTTCACGTTACGTTGGTTTGTTGTTGTTGTTGTTGTTGTTGTTGTTGTTGTTGTTGTGTTTATTATTTAATAAACATGATCACATCGCACGCTGCACCTTGGTCTGACCTGTCTCTCAACGATCGTGACAATTATGCACTCTTGTGTATTTTGTACATTGAGAGCGGGCTCCAGTGGTTGGATAAAAAATTATAACGTTAAATATAACATTATTTATTATTTAAATGTTTTGGACCTTTAGGGCCCCCTACGGGCCCAGCCGCTGACTCACACAATTGACCAGTCACATTTATCTATTATGCAGTTTATTTAAAATGTTTTATTAATCAGTTACCCAATCAAGGCAGGGCCACCCAGTTACCCACGTGGGCCCCCTACCTCCTTTCCTCCACCCATCTGATGTTTAGCAGAGCGGCAGCAGCAGGCTGTCTACACTCAATGAGAGCGGGCTCCTGAGTCCTCCTATGGTTGGTGGTTACAGTCTAATTTTTTAAAATATATACTACATATATAATATACAGTGCATTCGGAAAGTATTCAGCCCCCTTGACTTTTTCCACATTTGATTACGTTACAGCCTTACTCTAAAATTTATAAAATTGTTTTTTTCCCTTTCACACAATAACCCATAATGACAAAGCAATGATGCTGCCACCACCATGCTTCACCGTAGGGATGGTGCCAGGTTTCCTCCAGATGTGACGCTTGGCATTCAGGCCAAAGAGTTCAATCTTGGTTTCATCAGACCAGAGAATCTTGTTTTTCATGGTGTGAGAGTCCTTTAGGTGCCTTTGGCAAACTCCAAGCGGGCTGTCATGTGCCTTTTACTGAGGAGTGGCTTCCGTCTGGCCACTCTACCATAAAGGCCTTATTTTCAATCATGGTGCCGGAGGGGATGACTGCTGTTTTACGGGCTCCAAACCAACTTATTTTGTACATAATGCTGCTGCTACCATCTCTTATGACTGAAAAGAGCTTCTGGATATCAGAACAGCGATTACTCACCTCGAACTGGACAAAGATTATTTTCCGTGCATCGGCAGGACAGAACAGCTACGTCCGGTAAGACGAGGGGTGGGGGTGTGAGGTAGAGTACCTCATGATGAGCTGTAGACCACACTATCTACCAAGATCTATATTTTTAGTAGCAATCTATTTACCACCACAAACTTATGATGGCACTAAGACCGCACTCAACGAGCTGTATAAGGCGATAAGCAAGAAAATGCTCATCCAGAAGAGGCGCTTCTAGTGGCCGTGGACTTTGAATGCAGGCATTTCTACCAGCATGTCACATGTGCAACCAGAGGGGAAAAAAACTCTAGACCACCTTTACTCCACACACAGAGACGCATACAAAGCTCTCCCTCGCCCTCCATTTGGCAAATCTGACCATAATTATATCCTCCTGATTCCTGCTTACAAGCAAAAACTGAAGTAGTTAGTACCAGTGACTCGCTCAATACGGAAGTGGTCAGATGACGCGGATGCTACGCTACAGGACTGTTTTGTTTAGCACAGACTGGAATATGTGCCGGGATTCATCCAATGGCATTGAGGAGTATACCACCTCAGTCACCGGCTTCATTAATAAGTGCATCGACGACGTCGTCCCCACAGTGACCGTACATACATATCCCAACCAGAAGCCATGGATTACAGGCAACATCCGCACCGAGCTAAAGGCTAGAGCTGCCGCTTTCAAGGAGTGGGACACAATTCCGGACGCTTATAAGAAATCCCGCTATGCACTCAGACGAACCATCAAACATGCAAAGCGTCAATACAGGACGAAGATTGAATCCTACTACACCGGCTCTGATGCTTGTCGGATGTGGCAGGGCTTGCAAACTATTACGGACTACAAAGGGAAACCCAGCCGCGAGCTGCCCAGTGACACAATCCTACCAGACAGGCTAAATGCGTTTTATGCTTGCTTCGAGGCAAGCAACACTGAAGCATGCATGAGAGCACCAGCTGTTCCGGACGACTGTATGATCACGCTCTCCGTAGCCGATGTGAGCAAGACCTTTAAACAGGTCAACATTCACAAGGCCGCGGTGCCAGACGGATTACCAGGACTATTTATTTTAGGACTAGTACTCAGAGCATGCGCGGACCTACTGGCAAGTGTCTTCACTGACATTTTGAACCTCTCCCTGACCGAGTCTGTAATACCTACATGTTTCAAGCAGACCACCATAGTCCCTGCGCCCAAGAAAGTGAAGGTAACCTGCCTAGATGACTACCGCCCCGTAGCACTCATGTCGGTAGCCATTAAGTGCTTTGAAAGGCTGGTCATGGCTCACATCAACACCATCATCCCGGAAACCCTAGACCCACTCCAATTTGCATTCTGTCTCAACATATCCACAGATGATGCAATCTCAATCGCACTCCACATTGCCCTTTCCCACCTGGACAAAAGGAAGACCTATGTGAGAATGCTAGTGCCCACAAAGCTCATCACCAAGCTAAGGACCCTGGGACTAAACACCTCTCTCTGCAACTGGATCCTGGACTTCCTGATGGGCCGCCCCCATGTGGTAAGGGTAGGCAACAACACATCTGCCACGCTGATCCTCAACACGGGGGCCCCTCAGGGCTGCGTGCTTAGTCCCCTCCTGTACTCCCTGTTCACCCACGACTGCGTGGACAAGCACGACTCCAACATCATCATTAAGTTTGCTGACGACACAACAGTGGTAGGCCTGATCACCGACAACGATGAGACAGCCTATAGGGAGGAGGTTAGAGACCTGGCAGTGTGGTGCCAGGACAACAACCTCTCCCTCAACATGAGCAAGACAAAGGAGCTGATCGTGGACTACAGGAAAAGGAGGGCCGAACATGCCCCCATTCACATTGAAGGGGCTGTAGTGGAGCGGGTCGAGAGTTTCAAGTTCCTTGGTGTCCACATCACCAACAAACTATCATGGTCCAAACACACCAAGACAGTTGTGAAGAGGGCACGACAACGCCTTTTCCCCCTCAGGAGACTGAAAAGATTTGGCATGGGTCCCCAGATCCTCAAAAAGTTATACAATTGCACTATCGAGAGCATCCTGACCGGTTGCATCCCCGCCTGGTATGGCAACTGCTCGGCATTCGACCGTAAGGCACTACAGAGGGTAATGCGTACATCACTCGGGCCAAGCTTCCTGCCATCTAGGACCTAGGCGGTGTCAGACGAAAGCCCAAAGAATTGTAAAAGACTCCAGTCACCCAAGTCATAGACTGTTCTCTCTGCTACCGTAAGATAAGCGGAACCGGAGCGCCAAGTCTAGGTCCAAAAGGCTCCTTAACAGCTTCTACCCCCAAGTCATAAGACTGCTGAACAATCCCGGACTATTTACATTGACAACAACCCCCCCCCCCCCGTCCCCCGTCCCCCCGCTGCTTATTATCTATGCATGTACAAATTAACTAGACTAACCTGTACCCCCGCACATTGACTCTGTACCGGTACCCCCTGTATATAGCCTCGTTATTGTTATTTTATTGTGTTACTTATTTTTTACTTTAGTTTATTTAGTAAATATTTTCTTAACTCTATTTCTTGAACTGCATTGTTGGTTAAGGGCTTGTAAGTAAGCATTTCACGGTAAGGTCTACACCTGTTATATTCGGCGCATGTAACAAATAACATTTGATTTGATTTTGTGGAGTGCTGTAGAGATGGTTGTCCTTCTGGAAGGTTCTCCCATCGCCACAGAGGAACTCTGGAGCTCTGTCAGAGTGACCATCAGGTTCTTGGTCGCCTCCCTGTCCAAGGCCCTTCTCCCCCAATTGCTCAGTTTGGCTGGGTGGCCAGCTCTAGGAAGAGTCTTGGTGGTTCCAAACTTCTTCCATTTAAGAATGATGGAGGCCACTGTGTTCTTGGGGACCTTCAATGCTGCAGAAATTTTTTGGTACCTGTGCCTCAACACAATCCTGTCTCGGAGCTCTACGTACAATTCCTTCGACCTCATGGCTTGGTTTTTGCTTTGACATGCACTGTCAACTGTGGGACCTTATATAGACAGGTGTGTGGCTTTCATGTCCAATCAATTGAATCTACCATAGGTCTGAATACTTTCTGAATGCACTGTGTATATATATATATATATATATATATATATATATATATACTAACGGGCTCAATGACCCAGAAAAGCACAGACTAAATGTTGTAACCATGTTACAAAATGTCACTGTTAAAACATCCTATTTGCCTTACGTACAAGCAGAGCATTATCTTATATAAGGAAGACAGATCTGCTGATTTCGGCTGAGAACAAAGGATTTTCATTTTTCCTTGTCTCTGGCAATAACATCTATAATGGCGATCATTATCACAATCACAGCCAATCATTGGTCTTTTCATGGTGAAAATTACCCTTCAGTCACCTGCCTGTCCCATGGGACAGCCCCTAAATGCCCTCATATTATCATTAAGGGCACTCTCCCCAACCCAGACCCCCTAAGTGACTCTGAGCACCATTGTGTCAGTCGTGTGCATGTGTGTGTGAGTGTGTGTGTGCGTGTGTTTGTGTGTGCAAGTGCAAGGGAAAAATCAGTCTTTATCTACAGGGACAATAGAGCCAGAATGAGTCCTCCACAGGGAGCCGGGGCAGTCAGTCGCTGAGTGTGACAGGGTTTTCAGTCCCCCGGGCGGCCATTGTGTGTGGGGCCCAGCTGGGCTATCTGCTAAGACCAGTTCACAATGAGCCTGCAGTCAATGGGGCATTAACACTATCTCCTGAATCTGGGCCAGGCTGAACTGGTGTGTGTATGTGTGGGTGTGTGTGTGTGCAGTGTGCATCACAATTTAGTGTCCCAGTTCTCTCTCTCTCTCTCTCTCTCTCGGCATGGTTCCAAGGTTCCAACCGGGAGATGAGATGGAGTTTTCCTAGCAGGGTGATTGCCTAAGCTAATGTTAAGAAAGAAGTGAAGCGTCTCTTCTTTTTAATCTTGTTCTGTTACTATCACTCTGATCTTGAATTCTTCTTCTTGTTTTATTACCATTAATGAACATGTCTGGTCTCTCAAAATCCTAATCTTGTATTGTCTGTGATCGCTCTTGCAGTCATGTATGTGTATGTCTCTCTTGCAGCTCTGGCATTGCCCTGCTTGCTCTCTCTTGTAATGTTGTAGTCATTTCTCGTTATTATTTATTTGGTCTTTCATGATCCTGCATTACTATTATATTATTAACTTGTTTCTCTTCTCTACATATGTGTTGTCGTTGCGTTCTCTCTTGTAGTCCAGTCCTGTATTGTGTGTCCTGTATCCTGTGTTGTTTAGCTCTGCAGGGCTTCATGCCCTCTATCAGAGTGGGCCACCATGTAGAACTGAGATCTGATCAATGTGCAATAACCAGCCCATGGGGCGTGTGTGTGTGTGTGTGTGTTATCTGAGATTTACAGTATTCAGGCCTACTGTTCGATACATGGTTGGTACAGTGCCAACAGCAGTCAGGTCAAAACCAAAATTGTATATAACGGTCCCATTTGAACGCCATTTTAAAGACCTCTGACCTAACCAATATATTTTTGCTACATGGCGGAAATCCTTTAAATGTCAATCACAACCCACTGGGGCTTTCCTGCAAACTATCATGCAAACGTCACATTCCCAGTTAAATTGCATCGCTGCACAAAACAACAATACTGAAAACGTTGGCTAGCCAGCACAGTGATGTCCACATCGCATGCACACACACACACACACACACACACACACACACACACACACACACACACACACCCGCACGCACACGCACACACGCACACACACACACACACACACACACACACACACACACACACACACACACACACACACACACACACACACACACACACACAAAAACAGCAGTGTATGTCTCACATGTTTGTGTTGGCTGTAGAGGTGAGCCACTCCCCAGCCAGCCCAATGATGTCCAGCCCAGTGGAGAGCTGGTTGAAGAACCGTGGATGACCTGGGACACAGAGAGTAACAGAGATAAGAGATTATATCTCAATGGGAATTCCTGAATTAAATAAAGGTTAATAAAGAAACAAAAGAACATAGTGGAATATTTGCCTGGAAGGTTTTTATAACCTTATAAAAGCACACAGTGTTTTCTTTACCCTGGGGGCTGAAACAGTGTGTGGTTCTTTCCTGCTATGAAAACAAACCACTAAGTTAAAACAAAACAAAAAACACATTCACTATTTTCTGTATTCCTATTGGGACCCGAGCCTTGGAGGTGCAGAGGAACTACATTGGTAACAAGGTTACATGACAACCACTTTGTCTGAGTTCACATAAAAAAGATGCTCATAAAGCTTGAATTTGATGTTTGAAAGAAATTCACCAACAACAATCATCTTCACTAAGCTACTACTGTTGTATTTATGTCATGTTGACCCCTAGACGGACGGACTGACTGACTGGCTGAAGAGCGTAATATCGGAGATATGAAAGGGCGAAGCAGATTTGCTCCCACTCTATTGGCATATTCCAGCACCGTGGAAAGAGTAAGTGGAATGAAGGCGTGAGAATCAACTGCGGTAGGCTAAATGACACAGGTTTTTTTTGTCTTAACTGTCGTCACTTTGTGTGTGTAAATGATCAATGAATTAAGCTAAAGGTCTTTAGGAAGGAAACCCAAGGGACACTTTGACTGTTGTCGTTCCTAACAGCTTGTACAAGCACACGCAGGCTTGCATCCCTGCGGGCGGTACTTGGTTTAATAAGATGAGAGAAGGAGAAGAGGTTGTCAACAGAATTACCAGGGGGATAATAACCCGTCATTGTGATTGGTTGTAGCCTATCGAGGGAACAGCTTATTAAATGGTTTTGTGTAGAATTCCATTTTGCTCATGTGGTGTGAACAAGAGCAGATGACTGTGACAAAGATAAAACATATTGTAGCCCAATGCATTAATTAATGTGAAAAACATGACATGCGATATGTTCATATTGAATAAATAAAATGGTGCATTAAACACTTCCAGATAGCCTAAACAATATGAAAATATTATAGGCTATAGTCCTACTATATAGGTTGGTTGAGTTTCATATAACCAAAACATTTTAGCCTATAGCAATCTTGGTTGTTTTGGATTGGAATGGAGCCTACAGAGCAGAATGAACCGTCTTTGTTTCTCATGTAATTTCCAATTAACGAAGGAGAGAAACAACAGCCTATCTTAATTAGCTTTATAGGCTAAGGGTTTTTCCAATGAAAAGCGTTTAGTCTGCCTGGCTTGGTGAGAGATAACTGCTTTTATAAGAAATACAAAGAATGGAAAAGTAATGCACACAAAAACTGCCCTAAAAGCATGAAAAGCAAAAATCTGGTCTAAAACTTGTAACATATTTCACGTAATTATGTTGTGGCCAGTTTAGTGGTCTATGTTGTATGTACCTGTTCGCACGCCGTACTTGAGCGTGTCTCTGCAGTCCACAAGGATCTGCTCAAGGGACTCTGGCTGGTCAGAGAGCTCGAGGTTGAAGCCCTCCATGCCTTCCAGCAGCTGGTGAGGGTGGTGGAAGTCCAGAACCTTGGTGGAACGGTCAAACGTCTTCCTGACGTAGTTGGTGAGGATGTCCACAAGTTCTAACAAGAACTGCATAGTCGCCTCTTCTCCATTTTTGGTGGGAAGTAAGTCTAGAAGAATTAGGGGAAAAGCATTTACAAAACGAAAATAAATGTATGTTGAGGCTGGATGCCCTTTCACAGAAGGGGGCCTGTAAAGGCTATAACAAAATAGCATTAAAAAATGAAAGATTAAAAATGTAGGCCTATATTAAAAGTCTGGTAAGAATAAACTTGTTCTCTCACCTCTTGCGAACATGTTGGAGAAATCGGTCTCAGTGCGGCGGAAGCGCGCATCCCGGTCGCTGTTAACACAGGAGAAAAGGTTCTTCTGGCGTTCTGAAAGCGAGCCTGCGAGCCGGCCTTCCTCCCCTAGACTGTTATTCTTCTGCAGGAACCCTAGGGTGTTACACGGAGGGGCATGAGAGGGGGAACACGCTTGGTTACCACTGCTCAACATAGCTAGATAAATAACTTGATAATAACTTTTATTCAGAGACCGGAGTTTTATCTAGCCTTGTTATCAGTTACAAATGCAACACAGGTCTTTGTGGTGTCCTCTCCCAGACAGCGCTTATAAACCCAGGTGGTAATCCCCATATAGTGGGTGGGTTATGGATCAATTTATGAATGAGGGTGGCCTGTGTGTGTGTGCGTGTCTTTGTATGTGAGTGTGTGTTTGTGTGTGTGTGCTTGCATGGGTGCCCTGCCCTACCCTTCACAGTGACATCAACCCATAACGAAGCCATGCGGAGGGGGGGTAGGGGGGGGACCATATAGTTACACCTATTTTGGACGTATACACTAATGGAACACGTTTTTTGGACAGTAGTTACACTAATGGAAACACGTTATTTGACAGTAGTAACCTAATGGAAACACTTTTTGGACAGTATACACCTAATGGAAACAGGTTATTGGACAGTAGTACACCTAATGGAACAGTTTTTGGCGAGTTACACCTAATGGAAACGGTCTTAGGACAGTATTACACTATGGAAACCGTTATTTTGGACAGTAGTTACACCTAATGGAAACAGTTCTTTGACAGCATTACACCTAAGGGAAACAGTATTTTGGACGTAGACACTAATGGAACAGATTATTTTGGACGGTAGTTAACCTCATGGAAAGGTTTTTGGACAGTAGTTACACCTAATGGAAACAGGTTATTTTGGACATAGATAACCTAAGGACAGTGCTTGACAGTAGTTTCACTAATGAAACAGTTATTTTGGACGTAGTTACACCTATGGAAACAGGTTTTGGACAGTAGTTACACCTAATGGAAACAGTTATTTGGACAGTAGTTAACCTAAGGAAACAGGTTTTGGACAGTATTAACCTATGGAAACAGGTTTTTTGGACGTGTTACACCTAGGAAACAGTTATTTTGGACAGTAATTACACCTAATGGAAACAGTTTTTTGGCAGTAGTTACCCTATGGAACAGTTATTTTGACTAGTTACACCTAATGGAACAGGTTGTTTGGACAGTAGACACTTGGAACAGGTATTTTGGACAGTAGATACACCTATGTAAGTGCTTTGAAAGTTAAGATAATGAAACATTTTTTGACAGTAGTTACACCTAATGGAACAGTTATTTGGACAGTAGTACACCTAATGGAAACGTTTTTTGGACGTAGTTACACCTAATGGAACATTTTTGGACGTAGTTACCCTAATGGAACAGGTTATTTGGACAGTAGTTCACCTATGGAAACACGTTTTTGGACAGTAGTACACCATAATGGAAAGGTTTTGGACAGTATTACACCTAATGGAAACAGTTATTTGGACAGTATCCACCTAATGGACAGTTTTGGACGTAGTCACCTAATGGAAACAGTTCTTTGGACAGTAGTTACACCTAATGGAAACAGGTTTTTGGACAGTAGTTACACTAATGGAACAGGTTATTTGGACAGTAGATACACCTAATGGACAGGGCTTTGAACAGTAGTTACACTAATGGAAACAGGTTATTTTGGACAGTAGATACACCTAATGGAAACAGTTATTTGGACAGTAGTACACCTAATGAAACAGGTTATTTGGACGTAGTTACACCTAATGGAAACAGGTTATTTGACAGTAGTTACACCTAATGGAAACAGTTCTTTTGGACAGTAGTTACACCTAATGGAAAAATGTATGTTGGGACAGTAGTTACACCAAATGGAACAGGTTATTTGGACAGTAGATACACCTAATGGTAACAGTCTTTTGAACAGTAGTACATATAATGGAAACAGGTATTTTGGACAGTAGTTACACCTAATGGAAACAGGTTATTTGGACAGTAGTTACACCTAATGGAAACAGGTTATTTTGGACAGTAGTACACCTAATGGAAAGGTGCTTTTGGACAGTGTTACACACTAATGGAAACAGTTTATTTTGACAGTAGGTACACCTAATGGAAACAGGTTCTTATGGACAGTAGTTACACCTAATGGAAACAGTTATTTTGGACAGTAGTACACCTAATGGAAGCAGGTTTTTGGACAGTAGTTAACCTAATGGAACAAGGTTCTTTGGACAGTAGTTACCCAATGGAAACACGGTTATTTGGACAGTAGTTTACACTAATGGAAACGTGTATTTGACAGTAGTTACACTAATGGAAACAGAGTTTTTTGGACGGTAGTACACCTAATGGAACAGATGTATTTGGACGTAGTTACACCTATGGAAACAGGTATTTTGGACAGTAGTTACACCTAATGGAAACAGGTTATTTTGGACAGTAGTTACTCTAATGGAAACAGTGCTTTTGACAGTAGTTTCACCTAATGGAAACAGTTATTTTGGACAATAGTTACACCTAATGGAAACAGGTTGTTTTGGACAGTAGTTACACCTAATGGAAACAGGTTATTTTGGACAGTAGTTACACCTAATGGAAACAGGTTATTTTGGACAGTAGTTACACCTAATGGAAACAGGTTATTTTGGACAGTAGTACACCTAATGGAAACAGGTTTTTGGACAGTAGTTACACCTAATGGAAACAGGTTATTTTGGACAGTAGTACACCTAATGAAACAGGTTTTTTGGACAGTTAGTTACAACTAATGAAACAGGTTATTTTGGACAGTAGTTACACCTAATGGAAACAGTTATTTTGGACAGTAGTTACACCTAATGGAAACATGTTCTTTTGACAGTAGTTACACCTAATGGAAACAGGTTATTTTGGACAGTAGTTACACCTAATGGAAACAGGTTATTTTGGACAGTAGATACACCTCATGGTACAGGTGCTTTTGAACAGTAGTTACATATAATGGAAACAGGTTATTTGAGCAGTAGTTACACCTAATGGAAACAGGTTATTTTGGACAGTATTTGATACTACCTAATGGAAACATGTTATTTTGGACAGTAGTACACCTCATGGAAACAGGTTAGTTGAACAGTAGTTACAGATAATGGAAACAGGTTATTTTGACAATTACATCTAATGAAACAGTTATTTTGGACAGTAGTTACACTAATGGAAACAGGTTTTTGGTCGTAGTCTTAGCTCAATGGAACAGGCGCTTGTAAGCAGGAGGTTATTTGGGACAGTATTATAAAACTATGGACACACAACCTTTGGAAAGTAGTTACACCGAATGGAAACATTATTTTGGAAACAGTACACTAATGGAAACAGGTTATTTGGACAGTAGCTACACCTAATGGAAACAGGTTATTTTTGGACAGTGTCACACCTAATGGAAGCAGGTTGTTTTGGACAGTAGTTACACCTAATGGAAACAGGTTATTTTGGACAGTAGTTACACCTAATGGAAACACGTTCTTTTGGACAGTAGTTACACCTAATGGAAACACATTATTTTGGACGGTAGTTACACCTAATGGAAACAGGTTCTTTAGGACAGTAGTTACACCTAATGGAAACATGTTCTTTTGGACAGTAGGTACACCATAATGAAAACAGGTTCTTATGGACAGTATTTACACCTAATGGAAACAGGTTGTTTTGGACAAGTGTTACACCTAATGGAAACAGGTTATTTTGGACAGTAGTCACACCTAATGGAAGCAGGTTGTTTTGGGCAGTAGTTACACCTAATGGAAACAGGTTATTTTGGACAGTAGATACACCTAATGGAAACAGGTGCTTTTGTGGTCCTCTGTAGCTCTGTAGCTCAATTGGTAGAGCATGGCGCTTGTAACGCCACGGTAGTGGGTTCGATCCCCGGGACCACCCATACGTAAAAATGTATGCGCACATGACTGTAAGTCGCTTTGGATAAAAGCATCTGCTAAATGGCATATTATTATTATTATTATTTGAACAGTACTTACACCTAATGGAAACAGGTTATTTTGGACAGTAGATACACCTAATGGAAACAGGTTATTTTGGACAGTAGTCACACCTAATGGAAGCAGGTTGTTTTGGACAGTAGTTACACCTAATGGAAACAGGTTATTTTGGACAGTAGTTACACCTAATGGAAACACGTTCTTTTGGACAGTAGTTACACCTAATGGAAACACATTATTTTGGATGGTAGTTAGACCTAATGGATCAGGTTCTTTAGGACAGTAGTTACACCTAATGGAAACATGTTCTTTTGGACAGTAGGTACACCATAATGGAAACAGGTTCTTATGGACAGTATTTACACCTAATGGAAACAGGTTGTTTTGGACAAGTGTTACACCTAATGGAAACAGGTTATTTTGGACAGTAGTCACACCTAATGGAAGCAGGTTGTTTTGGGCAGTAGTTACACCTAATGGAAACAGGTTCTTTAGGACAGTAGTTACACCTAATGGAAACAGGTTCCTTTGGACAGTAGTTACATCTAATGGAAACAGGTTATTTTGGACAGTAGATACACCTAATGGAAACATGTTATTTTGAACAGTAGTTACACCTAATGGAAACAGGTTATTTTGGACAGTAGTTACACATAATGGAAACAGGTTATTTTGGACAATTGTTACATCTAATGTAAACAGATTATTTTGGACAGTAATTACACCTCATGGAAACAGGTTATTTAGGACAGTAGTTACACCTAATGGAAACAGGTTATTTTGGACAGTTGAAACAGGTTATTTTGGACAGTAGTTACAACTAATGGAAACACAACCTTTTGGAAAGTAGTTACATCTAATGGAAACATGTTATTTTGGACAGAAGTTACACTTAATGGAAACAGGTTATTTTGGACAGTAGTTACACCTAATGGAAACAGGTTATTTTTTTACGAAATTATTAATACATATCTACTTAATTTAATTGTGTTATTGAAACACTATCGAATTGAGAAATTATCATTAGAAATTATTATGTCAGATTGAACAAGTACCTCCCAACTGAATCAATTGTGTCAGTTCTAGGTCTTTGAGTTGCATTTGTCATAACTACTAAATGGAGAAAAAAAGACTCTACATTCTAAAGTTTAATTTCCAATTAACAATGGTACAGTGAAGAGTTCAGTAGGGAGCTTTGTGCTCCCATCTGCTTCTTACTCATCCATGAGGTTCTTTGCCAGTTCCTGAGCCTGCAGCCTGTAAATTGAATGAACCTACAGACCAGTTTAACTACAATGACATTCTCAGTTACTGTTACATAAACTTTTAACATGTGGCTTTAACATGTGGCTGTTTATTTACCTTAGTTGAATGCACTGACTGAAGTCGCTCTCGATAAAAGCGTTTGCTAAATTACCAAAACGTAAATGTACAAATGTAAAGTTGCAAAGCATGCTGAGGATTAATGTAATGAGCTCTGCCCCCTAAAAAGACAAACTCTTTGACCAAACAAAATTAATTTCTACATGAATGAATCTGGTGCACATAAAGTTCCACCGAGTAAAGTCAGTAAATTCTACAAGAGACAATTACATTCCGCCATAAAACATGAATTGATTGTGTAATGTTAATAAAATATGATAGAGCAAATCTTAAGGGCAGCCAAAATAATTGTTTTGTGTGTCGACGAGACATTATGGAAGGGAAAGGGAAGCGTAAGGGGATACCTAGTAAGTTGAACAACTGAATGGATTCAACCGAAATGTGTCTTCCGCATTTAACGCAACCCCTTTGAATCAGAGTGGGGTTAATGATGGATGGGAGTTATTTAACGGGCTCTGGATAGGCTAGTCTATTTTTTTTACTAAAGTCCGTGTATATTAATAGCCCATTGATCTTAGAGAAAAAACAAATACAGAAAAAACTATAGCAGACTGCCATCAGCAAAGGTCATTATGGAAGGATTTAAACATTTATTTTCACATCATACAGTTTTAAGTACATTCTTCTATCAAAATCGGATGTTAAAATGCAATATCGAATAAGACAGACAAGGCTCTCTCAAACGGAACCCTTTCTCTTCTTCAGAGCTTCAGAAATCCTTTCATTTAAATGTATTCCCCTAATCTCGGATGGCACATTGGCACACAGAGCAGTGGCCACGACAAACTGCTGGTTGGTTCTCGTTAATCTCCTCTCTCATCCACAGGACGCGTCTCTTTACTGAAAGGAGCTGATGACTATTATAGCCTGTAAATCCACACTGACATAGGCCAACATCTAACACTCAGCACAATTTTATGATGACTGTTGTCACAGAGTGATTCTTCCGTTTTCTCCTCCTCACAAAAAATGATTTTAACCCCGAGCACAAAGCGATTTATTATCAGCCCAAAGGGGATATTATAGAAACGATGGTAAAGTATTGGGCCTGGGGCATAATGAACAGAAATGTGAAAATTACTCTCACAGGGCCTAAGCAAATGTCCTCTATAAAATGAATCAGTCAGTTTATCGAATAAACATGTTTCCTCGTACATTGCGGGAAATTATTTCGTTATTAAGGTTATTTGCAGGGTTATGAGGAAGGTTAAATTGTGTTCATTTTCTCCGGCAGGGGGCGTCCTCATTACGGGGCAGGTTCCCTAATTATGTGGGCCCTCGGTAAGAATTATAGTACTGCATCGTAACTCTCGAGCTAAAACCGATTTTTCTTAGGCTAATTACATCCTCTTCTTTGTTTTTGGATTCAAGCCATGGTAGGACAATGCATCCTTTTGCAATTAAAAGTTAACTTGACATTATCAAAACCGTGCCACCAAAATATGTTGGACTGAAATCAATAAAGGTAGGAAGGATTTCTTAAAGCAAGGATATTTTTCTCAATATGTGATGACATCAAACCAATCCTCGATGTAATCGAAAAATTATTAAAAACAGGGCCCAGGAAAAAAAAGGTCCTCTAAGAATCCTGTTGGAAAAATACTGGATTCAATCATTTCACCTCGGTTTAGCTGGATTAGATAACATAACAGAGGCCTTATGGAACCTCCCAGATTTACCAAACCCACGCCCTCCCACATCATCTCATCGACGTCATCACATCTAATTTTATAAGGTATATTTTTAAAAAACAGTTTTGCATGAAGGGACCCAAATCCACCCCACCTCCAAACCGGAAATGTGAGGAAATTAATGTTTTAAAAAAACTTAAAAGAAAAACTGTAATAAGGCCTTTATGATAAAATGAATTAAAACTGGCATTAGAACGTGCATATTATAGGCCTAGCTTATGCACAAACCATGTTAGCAGCTAATTCAGCATTAAAAACCTATTGGACAGCTCTATCTCGCCAAATACTCGATGTTTAGGCATTTTCTACATTTCTGAGGCAGATTGTTACTTGCTGTAGTGTAGGCCTGTATCCTATCCTTTGCCAACTGCAGAGATATGGATAGGAAGGGACATGGGGTGCCTCGCGGGGTCGGGGCGGGAACCCCGGCACGCCGTGCTTGGCCTAAAGCTAATTGCCAACTGACCTTCAGGAGATGAGAATGTGGAGTGACAATCCGCGACGGCCTTGCCCTAATATTAGCATATTATAGCATCCATTATGCTGGGTTGGAGATGGGCCTATGAGGCTTCATAGGCCTACAAAGACAAATGACAACTTTCTCGTAGGCTATTGCAGTGAATCGAAATTAAATTGTCGTTGTTGATGGTTCATGGGTCTAAAACTTACCACATATCTTCATCCCCAGTTTCCGCGTGCATCCTTGCATCCACGCGTCATAGTCTAAAACAGAATGTTTGGGGAGAACGTTTGAAAATCCGATTCTGGAATAATGAATAGTGTGATTTGGGTGACAGCGGATTCGTTTTTATAAAGCGTATGGTGGCAGTGCATGGCAGAACGGAGTGAAGAAGCATGAAGCAGACTCACATGCAGAAGAAGCAGCAGCCTATACAGCTCACGCCACCCCTTCCCAAACCCCATTGGGAGGAAACAAAGCAACGCTGACCTTAGATCAGTGTCTGGGTGCAACTTCACCCTATCTCGGGATTATTAGCCTATTCTTGAACATTCGAATTGTTCCGAATCCATACAGTCCAATCAAAATGGGCCATTAGAGCCCCAGACTGGCACGCACCCGGCAAAGGGGCGGTTTTAAATAAACACCCGTGAAATTAGCTTGCGAAGGAGTGCAGAAATTAATTGGGTGAAACACAGTAATTTGACTGGCGCGAGATGGTGATGTCTGGCTGGCCGTTTGGACACAAACACACACACACACACACACACACACACACACACACACACACACACACACACCAGGCAGTATAGGGAGAACTACTGCAGTATAGGGAAAACTACCTATAGTCTACCTTATTTTGGTATTGCATGAACATACAGATGGAGAATGGCATCATAGCCACACAAAAAAAACAAGCACACAGAGCCAAGCAATGGGACGGTAACATGGCACATCTATATGCATATGAGCTTTATGGTGGTGTTATTTGTCTAGGATTCAAGAGGTGTCACTCAGAGCGCAAGGCAAGCGCTGCCCAAGAAACACTCGCACACAGACATCACGAGCCGCCTCAGGTCAGTGTAAGCGAGACAGAGCGTGGCAGCAAGATAATGGCAACATCCAACAGTAGCAGCAGAGAAACAGGCAGAGTACAAACAACATCACAGGCTTTTTCAAATAGCCTATCAAATTAAATCAATTTTCCATATTAGGCCAATAGCTTTAATGACAGAAATTTTAGGCTGATTAATTAGGCCTAGGCTTACATTTTCCAAAATAAATATGACTAGGCCTAGGTCTACAAAGAAGAGAGTTTGGGACTTTTTCTTAACGAAAATATAACTGTCAGTTGGTAGACTAAAATGCTAATTTCAGTAATACCTACTAAATGCCCTCTTCTTTCAGTGTTCGATGGCAAAATTATCCAAGCAGGTCTCTAGTACATTGACATCCCTCCTCCGCATACACTTTGCCAATGTCATACAAAACGAATGCAAGCCATCACGAGGAACGGAGTGCCTGCAATTACCAGCCATTTCCCTGCTTAATTGCGCTGGTAACGGCTCTCTCATGCAGTGACGCAGGACCACACATTGGAAAGATTTTGAGGGGATAAATGATTGAAATTATAAAAAATGTAATCACGAATTAAAATGCTAATATTCAGAATATATCCTTAGCCAATAAATAAAAGCATTGGCCTACATTTAGCGTTTAGGTTATTAGGCCTATTTTAAAATCTATAATATTTTAAACATTATTTCATAGGCCCAATAAAAAAAGGAATAACCTAAGGAAATTCGATAGGCTTATTCCAAATAATTGTGTTTTTTATTCCAAAAAGAATCCCTTCCGGATTCCCTGAGCTGAAGACATTATAATGACGCTCTATGAGGCGATTACAGGAGGTCCTTTTCTCAGTGCGCGCCGCTGATCCGTTAGACAGAGGCAGGCAGTTGTGATAGCTCTGTTTTTAACCGGAATGATTAACGACGGCGCCCACACGGTAAATAGCCAGAGTGAGACTCGTTTTTATCAGGCAAAGAGGGAGGAAGGTATGGAGAGGGATGAGAAGAAAGATAGACCTACTTGTGGATGAAGGTCGTAAATTGGCGGAGTTGGGGTCCTGGTCCCCGCCGGCGGCTGTCGGTTCAGACGTGGCCATCAGTCCTCTGTTATTCCCGTGCGCTCCGGGACTCTTATCAGATTCTCAACGGAAATAACCAACCGGTTGCTGAAAACAAACGGCCCAGTGTTAAGATTGATGGCTAATATTAAACAAATAAATAACCGCATTAATGTCCGAAAGCTAGTCTATTTACATAGCCTAAAATATTTTAGCTGAATTTGATCAATGAAATTGAGATTTAGTTAGCCGTGCAGTGACCATAAACGAAGAGGATGATACATAATTTGTTATTATCTGCCTCTATGATCGGAATCATTTATTCTCGAACGAGGCTCGCATTTGCCGATCGAAGGGAGATAAATCAGTGGTGATCGGTTTGAGAAGATTTGTCTCGCGCCACACACACAATAACCCGGGCGCGTGGGTCCCTGTGTCAAATGCAGAAATGCTTTCGGACGATAACATCACTTGCATTCAATACTGTACCCAAATAATGACAGCAAATCTGACAGAAATTTATAGCTACGATATTCTAACCTTAGCCTATATAAACGAACGAAAAAAAACTGTTTTGAGCAGTAAATTGGACATAAAGCCTAGTCCCCAGTGAAGTTTTTATGGGTCGTTAAAGCGAAATCATCCCCATCTCAGAGCCATCAGTCTTGGGCGCTCGAGCTAAGCGATGAGCACCAGACCGTTCAGTCTACTTAATTAGATCAAAGAGCACGAAAACAAAGGATTGTCGTGCCTTCAATATAAAGCAAATAAATAGGCCTAGGACTAATCCACAAACAAATCATCCTTATCAGACCTATTCATAATGAGGAATATGCTAAACGAAAAACCCTATCATAATGATGTACAATTTGATTATTTGACACATTTTGCCAAATAATTATTGGTTTCGTAAGAGAAAAATATAATTGATTGGACAGACACTTAACCTACTGAAATCCGTTGGATAATGGATTGACATTGCATATAGATTTTTGATTATGATGATCTTTGAATAACCACGGCGAAGCCAGCATCAGTCAATGTCATTGTTAATAAGGAATAGTTAGGCTAATGAATGAATCCTGCTACTCATATAGGCTATAAATAACAATAGCCTACTATTGCTAATAACATGTTAATTGTTTCTTAATAACAAACTTTGAACGAGAGAGATTAGGAAATCTGAACATTCAAGCGACAGGTCGTTTGCAAAAATATTTATGCTTTTCTAAACCAATCCCATCCTTTTTTCGACCCCAATAAGAATGAACATGGCAACAATATAGCAGTTGTTGGGCGCTGTGCAGCATTATCTTAAGGAAAACAAAAACTCACTGTTGTATTATGGAAAAATAAATCTATATTACAATATAGGCTGTTCGGAAACGTGAGAGCGCTCGCGCTAGGAGACTATAGGCTACCTTACCTTCTGCGGGTGCACAGGTTGTCGTGTCCAGAAACTATCACCAAACAACGGAATTACAGTTCTCTATCCACCCAACGTTCTGAGACGCAAGACAGTCCAAAGCCAACGACACCGGAATACCAATAGAGTACGAAAAATTCCATTCAGCAGCGTGCGAGTGACCTTTTTTCCCTCAAGAATGTTTAATTTTTTAATTATTTCTCAGCGCGTGAATCGCCTATTTATCCACTTTTACGCACGCACACGTGAGTCATAGCATTACCTCCCTCTGGCGCGAAATCAAGCTTCTTCACGACAACTGACGTGTCCCCTTTTTCTGTGAGAGGGATACTTTTTTTTAGCAGGTTTGACTGTCATGAGAAATGCATATCTCCATTACGATCCCCAATCACGAAGTGTCACTCTTAGGAAGTTTGATAACCATCAAGTCCTCAATAGCCTACTAACCTAGGTGATGTTCAACTAGACCAAAAACAACAGAGGAGGTTTTATTTGCGTCACTGGCACCTGTCAATCAAAGGAAAAATTTGACAAAATGTGTTGGCCAACACTAGTAGCCTACCAGATATGGACTTTGGATGGACTCCTTTTTGCTCAGAAGGCTAGGCATATCCCTGAAATGTTATCACCGATAAACGGACAAGTGGTTGCCTGTTCATTTTCTTCTGTGTTGTTGTCCAGATTTAGTTTTGTGGATTGCGACACTAGACTGATATGTTGACTCTAGACACGAGGGGGCGCATCCACTGCGTTCACAGATCTCTGTTGTCAGGCAGCATTGATGGAGTTTATTTCCAAAATGGTGAAAATCATGTCATCTCTTGCCTATGCTGTGCAGAAACCACATGTTGTTTGGAACATGTCCAAATACATATCCTATACCTCCTAGCCTATAGGCTGAATAGTAAAACAAAAAAAAGAGTAGCCATGGTACACACACCTGAGGAAGTTTAGGGAATTCACCTATAAACTTCAAGGTCCCAAGCAGCAGGGCTCCAATGGGAAGTGTTCTCTCCATGGTCCACTCCACTGCCTAATGCCTCTGCTTTCACTCTCTCTTTCCTCTTTCACTCCTCCCCTTCTTTTCTGATCTTCTCTTCCTTTCCACTTGTTCTCTCTTCCCCATGTCAGGACAGGCCTTTATATACAGTGCATTCGGAAAGTATTGAGACCCCTTCCCTTTTTCCATATTTTGTTACATTACAGCCTTGTTCTAAAATTGATTAAATTATATGTTTTCCTCATCAATCCACACACACTACCCCATAATTACAAAGCGAATACAGGTTTTTAGACATTTTTGCAAATGTATTCAAATAAAAAACAGAAATACCTTATTTATGTAAGTATTAAGACCATTTGCTATGACACTTGAAATTGAGCTCAGGTGCATCGTGTTTCCATTGATCATCCTTGAGATGTTTCTACAACTTGATTGGAGTCCACCTGTGGTAAATTCAATTGATTGGACATGATTTGGAAAGGCACACACCTGTCTATATGCGGTCCCACAGTTGACAGTGCATGTCAGATCAAAAACCAAGTTATGAGGTCGAAGGAATTGTCCGTAGAGCTCCGAGACAGGATTGTGTTGACGCACAGATCTGGGGAAGAGTACCAAAAAATGTCTGCAGCATTGAAGGTCCCCAAGAACACAGTGGCCTCCATCATTCTTACATGGAAGAAGTTTGAAACCACCAAGACTCTTCCTAGAGCTGGCCGCCTGGCCAATCTGAGGAATCGGGGGAGAAGGGCCTTGCTCAGGGAGGTGACCAAGAACCCGATGGTCACTCTGACAGAGCTCTAGAGTTCCTCTGTGGAGATGGGAGAACCTTCCAGAAGGACAACCATCTCTGCAGCACTCCACCAATCAGGCCTTTATGGTAGAGTGGCCAGACGGAAGCCACTCCTCAGTAAAAGGCACATGACAGCCCGCTTGGAGTTTGCCAAAAGGAACCCAAAGGACTCTCAGACCATGAGAAACAAGATTCTCTGGTCTGATGAAACCAAGACTGAACTCTTTGGCCTCAATGCCAAGCGTCACATCTGGATGAAATCTGGCACCATCCCTACGGTGAAGCATGGTGGTGGCAGCATCACGCTGTAGGGATGTTTTTCAGCGGCAGGGACTGAGAGACTAGTCAGGGTTGAGGGAAAGATTAACGGAGCAAAGTACAGAGAGATCCTTGATGAAAACCTGCTCCATAGCACTCAGGACCTCAGACTGGGGCGAAGGTTCACCTTCCAACAGGACAACGACCCTAAGCACACAGCCAAGACAACGCAGGAGTGGCTTCGGGACAAGTCTCTGAATGTCATTGAGTGGCCCAGCCAGAACCCGGACTTGAACCCGATCGAACATCTCTGGAGAGACCTGAAAACAGCAGACAGCCATCCAATCTGACAGAGCTTGAGAGGATCTGCAGAGAAGAATGCAATAAACTCCCCAAAACCAGGTGTGTCAAGCTTGTAGCGTCATACCCAAGAAGACTTGAGTCTGTAATCGCTGCCTAAGGTGCTTCAACAAAGTACTGCGTAAAGGGTCTGGATACTTATTTCAGGGCTTTTTATTTTATAAATTAGCAAAAATGAATAACCTGTTTTCGCTTTGTCATTGGTATGTAGATTGATGAGGGGGGGGACATTTTTTATAATTTTTTTGAATAAGGCTGTAACATAAAGTGTGGAAAAAGTCAAGGGGTCTGAATACTTTCCAAATGCACTGTACTATTATGAGTGGAGTTTACAGTACTTTTCTGACCTACGGTGAAGCATGGTGGTGGCAGCATCATGCTGTTGGGATGTTTTCAGCGGCAGGGACTGGGAGACTAGTCAGGATCGAGGGAAAGATGAACGGAGCAAAGTACAGAGAGATCCTTGATGAAAACCTGCTCCAGAGCGCTCAGATTGGGGCGAAGGTTCACCTTCCAACAGGACAACAACCCTAAGCACACAGCGAAGACAACGCAGGATTGGCTTCGGGACAAGTCTCTGAATATCCTTGAGTGGCACAGCAAGAGGCCGGACTTGAACCCGATCGAACATCTCTGGAGAGACCTGAAAATAGCTGTGCAGCGACGCTCCCCATCCAACTTGACACAGAGCTTGAGAGGATCTGCGGAGAAGAATGGGAGAAACTCCCCAAATACAGGTGTGCCAAGCTTGTAGCGTCATACCCAAGAAGACTTGAGGCTGTAATCGCTGCCAAAGGTGCTTCAACAAAGTACTGAGTAAAGGGTCTGAATACTTATGTAAATGTGATATTTCAGTTTTTAATTTTTTTATACATTTGCAAACATTTCTAAAAATCAGTTTTTACTTTCTCATTATGGTGTATTGTGTGTAGATTGATGAGGGAAAAAACAATTGTAATTCAGTTTAGAATAAGGCTGTAACGTAACAAAATATTTAAAAAGTCCAGGGGTCTGAATACTTTCCGAATGCACTGTAGATCTGATTGATCAACATAGCTGCACCTCCTCAGAAAAAAAGCAGAATTTTTTAAGAGGATGTGTGCGGGTGCATTTATTTTGGCATGTGGGTGTGTAGAAACTATAGATATGTCCCAGTAAGCAAAATTATATTGAAAATATGTCTAAAATACGTATTTTCCAGACTTTGAAGTTAGGTTCATTTTAGGTTCTGAATGAAAGGTGAAAAGAGGGCTTTTCCGTACATTTAAAATACGTATTTTCATTGAAAATATGTATTTTCTGGACGTTGAAATGAGGTTCATTTTCGGTTCTGAGTGAAAGTTGAAAATACATAATTTACAGGCGTTGAAAATACGTATATTTTGCTAACTGATTCTATGGCCAAATTTCAACTGCACATACATCCTCAATTAAGTAAGCATTATATCGCAATAATACTTTTAAAATCCCTTTAATATGGGAAAGAGGAGCCAACTGAAGATTGCAACATATAATATCTCGTATTGCTGTCATATGTCACATGCACTTATGATAGATTTTTCCAAAGCTTTGAAACTGGCAACAATGATGTTCAAAGTAGTTCAACCTATAGAATAAACCAACAAACCACTTCAACTACAATAACATTCTCAGTAACGGTATAGAAATGTTTTTTGTTTTGTTCCTATGACTGTGATATGTTGTTGTTTATCTACCTTAGTTGAATGCACTGACTTTAAGTCACTATGGATAAGAGTGTCTGCTGAATGAAATGTAAATGTAAAAACAAACACTTGCAAAGCATCCTGGGTATTATTCTAATGAGCTCCGCCTCCAAACAAGTACACATTTGGTCAGTCCGGACCAGACCAAATCTGAACGAATCATAAACGTCTAGGCTATGTTTCACAAGTTTGAATAGCACAGTACAGTACTGCACAGTTCAGTACAGTAGAGCACAGTAGAGTACAGTAGAGTACAGTAGAGTTTAATTCAGTAGAGTAGAGGACAGTACAGTTTAGTTCAGTACAGTAGAGTATATTAGAGTAAAGGAGGGTACAATACAGTACATTATACTGTACTATACTCTACTGTGCTGTACTATATTTTTCTTAACTTTTCTTTACTGGACTCTGCTGTGCTCTACTGTACTGTGCTGTCCCACGAGGGGCCAGTAAAAATAAATAAATAATCATTAAAAAAAAAACATTATGCACTCACTAACTGTAAGTCGCTCTGGATAAGAGCGTCTGCTAAATGACTAAAATGTAAAATGTAAATGTCCAAACTTAGTCCAGTCTGGACTGGACCAATTCTGAACCAATCATCGATGTCTATGTTTGGGCCAAATCAAGGCCGGTCTGGACTGGACCAAATCTGAACTAATTCTAGACGTCTATGTTTGGGCTAAATATAGGCCGGTCCGGACCGGACGTCTGTGGATGTTGAAATCAAGGCCAATCTTGATGCACAATGTCTTGTAATGTTTATTTATGTTTGGACCCCAGGAAGCGTAGCTGCTGTCTTGGCAACAGCTAATGGGGATCCTAATAAAATACTAAATACTAAACCTGAACTAAACATAGACATCTATGTTTGGGCCAAATCAAGGCCGGTCCGGACCAAATCTGAACCAAACATAGATGTCTATGCTGGTCCGGACCGCACCAAAATCAAAAAGAAGCCGGTCCAGAAGACGTCAGTGCCGGTCCAAGCTTAGTGGGATGTGATTATTTTAATGATTCCAGTTCTACTTGCAGAAATCTAAATAGAAAGTTTTCCCTTAGTCCAGGAGTAGTTCATGCGAAACTAACCCTTTGTGTTGAAGAAGCCGCAAAGACACAGATATCAGGACAGTGAACATTGTGTTATTTACAGTGCCTTCAGAAAGTAGTAATACCCCTTGACTTATTCCACATTTTGTTGTGTTACAGTCTGAATTCAAAATTGAATTAAATATATGTTTTTCTCACCCATCTACACACAATACCCCATAATGACAAAGTGAAAACATGTTTTTAGAAATTTTTGCAAATGTATTGAAAATGA